GGAATGCCCTCATCCCAAATTACGACACAGACGTCGACATCCCCTGGGGGAAAATCAACCCCAGCTGAGCAACTCATGTCAGCCTTTTCGGTGAACACAGATGGGACACAGCCCAGGGAGTGATGCTGCCCGGGCTTGCTCCGTGCACACTCACATGAGGGACGTCGGGGGCCTGCACTCCTCAGTGATGTCGTTCAGGATGACATGGGCGTCCTGCATCTCCTCCCTCTCACCCTTCCTCTCGGCCACATAGCCTTTCAGGCCAAAGATCACCGAAGAGGCTAAGGGAAAAGAGAACAGAAAGCCAATACAAAACTGTGCCCTATCCTCTGGAAGCCCTGGTCCCAGAGCAAATGACAGGGAACTGGACTCGGCAAACGAATGAGCAATCCCCCTCCAAAGATCTCCCCGCCTGCCAGCCTGCAACTAAAACCAGACTGGTGGACATGCAGGTCCACGAGGCAGAACGGGAGTGCAGAGTGAGAGCAGCGGGTGAGCACAGGACGGCCCCACTACGGAGGGCCAGTCACAGCACCTGGGCAGGGCTGCAATGAAGGGACCGTGTGCAGCTCTAGTCTCGTGATACCTAACGAGGGCAGCAAAATTCTTGGCTTCTCTCAAATGCTGTTAAGACGCCCTGAAATATGTACTTCTGTGCTCAAGGCTGGCAAAGAATCGAACAAATGGCTCAGAATGGGTGCTCGTACTTCAATGGCAAAGGAGAGGGCACGGAGTCTGTGCAGGCACTGCCATCTGCACCCTCACCTACTCACCGCTCACGGCAGGGCCATTCTCTGCTACCTGGAGCCACGTAAGGGAGAGTGGACACCCCGCCAGTGCTGTCCTTTCAGGGGTGACAATTAAGTGGAAGAGCAGAGCTACAAGGGGGTCTCCACGCGCACCGACGGCTCTTGCTGAGGGAGCTCGTGGAGGACCGGGCAGTCGTGCAGGAGACGGAAAGGCAGAGCTACCTGTCTCTAACCGACTCTGCACTCTCTCCCACTAATCCTGAGACAAGTTACAAAGCTGGCTACGAAGTTCAACTGCTTGTTTGCCAGTCTCATAGCATTCCAAATGCTAACTGCCGATATGAACAAAGACCTGGCATCAAGGCACAGAAGGCTACGGGAAAACGACCTGCACCCTTGAGGAACAAGTGCAGGCTTCCTATCTGAGCAAAGGCAGGGCCCAAGACATGTATGGAAAGAGGGAAAAAAAAGCAAAGGCAAGCTTAGAAACCCATTTGCAAAAAGCGAACCCTACTCGTTTCCTAAACTCAGACACGACAAGAAGTCTTATCATTAGAAAGCTGAGATTGCTTTTGCTCTGGGTTGTTTTAAAATAAATAGTCTAATACATTTGTTTTCAAACTGTCTGAAAACCTTTACAAACTTTCTTTTCCACAAGCTCTTCACTGCCATTCTTCTCTTCCTCAGGAGTTTTTCTCTTCGCTCCTTTCCCTTCATTCGTTACCAGCTGGGGTATCGAAGAGGCAAGAGAACCTGGAAATACAGTAGAGGCCAGACAGAAACACAGCTGTAGAGTGCAGAAGCAGTCACCACCAGAAGAGGCCCTGTCCCAGCCCTCAGAGACAGGCAGCCAGGCCAGTGAGGTCTGGCGGACGAACGACTGGGCTGTGTTCAGGGCGGGTGGGGCACAGGCAGTGCTGCATACCTGCGGTGGGAGGGCAGGAGTTAGGCTGTCGGCCCTGAGTCAGACTACCTCTAAACGTATGTGTAAAAGAGGCTTCTCAGGGGTAAACAAACCGCAAGTACAGATTTCTGACCTGTGGCATACACGCCACGTTTTACGTCTAAAGACCTTTATTAATGAGCAGGCCCTTGGTGATAAAGTTTCCCAAATCTGTAACAAACTGACATGCTGACCAAGGTCAAAAACATAACAGGTGCTTCAAAAGGCTGAGAACAAGGCTCAGTGTCAGGCTCCCAGGACGTGCACACGTACCCTGAAAAGCCAAAGGCGGAAGGAAAGCTGTGCTGGAGACCAGGGCGGAGAGTGCCTGCGGGGCCTGGGGTCTGCAGTGAGCGAAGCCTTGTTCGAAGAGGTGTGCCCTAAGGGCGTTACGCAACCTCGCAGACCCGCGGTTTCTTCACCTGTCACGGGGGCTGCTGGAAGACTGGCAGTGCCCACTATATCAAGTGCCCAAACCAGCCAAGCGCTCTCTGCAGGTAGGGTGACGGTACGCAGCCGTTTATTCTACCTATTCTCTGCCAGATGTTCCCCAGTGCCGAGGAAATGAGCAAATAAGAGAGTCCTGCACTTGATCACTCACACAGGGACACAGCTCTGCAAAAGTACAACAGAACCCGCACATGCCACCCACATAACAAGCCAAGTTAAAGAAAAGGGGTCTCAATGTCCCAGAGTCCCTCTTGTGTGGACTCCATTTTCCCAATGTATCTCCACCCAGTGGATCATCAGAAAAGTCATGACGTTATTTTTCTAGGCAAAGATGCATCGTGACCTTTCCGACAACCTGATACACGTGAGAGTACATTCCTTCCTTTTAGATTTCAAAATGGAGAAGCCCTACAGCTGTTACTGCCTTTTAAGGAAATTATCCTGCAATCAGAGAACGTGGTCTGTGCATGAAACAGATCCTTCATGGGATTTTCTGGAAGTCTGTTATTTCTTCCATGAGCCAGAGAGACCGAGAAAGAGAGACGGGGAAGGCAGCATCCCCAACCAGCACTTGACACTACAGTCCCCAACTCCAGCCAAGCCCGTACCATGGGCCTTGCAGCCCTCAGGAAGGCCAAGGGGCATCAACTGGGAATGTTCCTGTGTGGCTCAGCTTCTCAGAGCCTCGGGCTTTAGATGCTTCCCGTCCGGCCTCTCCCCTCATAACCCAGCACAGTCAACTTTCATGAATGGTGCTAGCCTGTGGAGAAGACTGTGTCACTTTCTCAAGAAATCCAAAACATTGGATGTAAGCTTCCATCTATGCCCAGAAGTTCGAGCTTGTCATTGTGGCACGTGACTCTTCTCATCTGCTGTCCCTTGCATCCATCGGCTAGCTAAGCCAGACCCTCACTTCTTTCATTGACTCTATGAGGCCTTGTCTGCACAGACCGTTCCTACTGTAACGAAGAGTGCTCTCGGGTGGGAAAGCTCCAGGCCAGGTCTTCCAAGAGTACTGGGTATTTCTGGCTTGCAACTACAGTGCTGAAGACTGCAGAATGCTTATTCAGGGTGACTACTGATGCTAGCACATAGCAAGTATACTAACTGAACCCGCACTTTTTAGACTGATTCCAATGGTTTTACGGTAATGATTAGTAATGCAAAAGCCTCCTTGGAAAGCACTAAGTGTTCTGACAACAGAAGGAAGGTTTTATATCAAAGTCGTGTCTCCCACCATCCTCGCTCCCTGAGGAACTCCACGGAGAAGTTCGAGTGAACGGAGTAATGGCTGTGTCATTTAGACAATAGGACAACACAGATCACTCGGCCCTATTCTAGTTAAGTGGGACACAAAAAGAAGTTAGACATTTTCAGGAACAGGTAGAACCAATGCTATATTTGGGTCGGCTAAGAACACAACAATTTTTTTTAAAATTTTTAAGCATCAATAACAAAATTCAGAATAAAATGCTGAACTTTTAATTCTCAGAAGCTGTTCCAGCAGGCTGAAACCCCAAGAAGTTAAAGATAAATAAGCACTGAAATGTGTTTAGTAGTAAAACGCTGAATCCTTTTGGTTTTACTGATGATCTCTAGCTTTAGAACTGTACTGTGAGTTAATGTCATCCAAAATCCTGTTAAAACCTACACACGAACTTTACGTAAGGGTAAATATGTATTATTTCCATCTGCTAACACTTACCTGAATCGCCACTGCCAGCAGGTGGGAGGTCATCAAAAAGCAAAGGTCCCCCTGATCCTGAAACACAACAGAACATTTAGTAAGCCCACAAAAAAATGGAGAATGCTTAAGTTTCCGAATCAATCCCACCAGGACACCTATGCAGATTATTGAAATAAACTCAAAACTTGTGTCAATCCGTGGCAACTCACAGAGCAGTGAATAATATCTTGAACCTATTTCAAAGTCCTATCAGTTCAAAGGAAACAAAAATCTGCCTTAAAAAGTTAAATTTTTATTTCGGCTAGTAAAATAAGAGACTCAAATGAACCAGATAAAACTGCTTGATATTTTTTCGCAGTACTCCTCAGGGCTAGCAACTAGCAGATATTTCTGCCTTACCTGATGCCATGGGTTCAAAACTTAAAGACAGCCCAACACCTAAAACATCTGTGTGTTAAAAATGGGGGAAAGGGAAAAAGATTGAGACAACTACAATCCCAGGATGAGTAGAGACGTTGACACACACCTGGGAGAGCCTGAAGACTGTACCTGTGTCAGTACTGCTGGCCGGAGGGAGGTCATCGAAGAGCAGAGGTCCTTTCTCAGCTTCTTTCCC